ACCAGGACGGCTATCCCCAAGGCTTTCCTGGGAGAGGCTTGACATGGGGATGGAGGATGGGGGTGGGTATCCAGGAACTTTTATGTCAGAGGGAGGAAGCACCACATAGTAGAGAAAGGACCATGTTTATCATCTGAAAGACCTGGACTCAAGTTCCAGAGTCACAATTCCGTACCTGTGTGACCTCGGGCAAGTGCCTGCCCTTTCTGAGCCTTGATTTTCTCATCTGTAATGTGGGGGTAACGACACCCAGCTCACAGAGTGGGGGGAGAATGAAGGGAGGACCGTGCATGAGAAGGACCCAGCCCAGTGCCCAGCACATGGTACGTGCTCCCTATTTTTCTCTCTTCAGGCCTTTAATTGTACTAGAGGTGGGCCCCAGACCACCTGCCTCTCAGCGTACCAGGAGATTGTTTCCTTAAAGGTCCTCACCTTGGCTCCCCCTCCAAGGCCTGGGCAGCTCAGCACCAAGGGAAGGCCAGAGCCCCTGCCCCCGTGAGCCTGTGGTCCTTTAGTCTTGCTCAGGCACATGCAGAAGAGGATGCATTGAAGGCTCAGCAGCCACAATGAGGCCCTCACTTGGGAACCAGCCACCCCCCGAACCACAGCTGCCCCCAATGTCAGCTGCAGTGGCAATCCAGCACCGGCAGCCAGGGCCACTGTCCCGGTGTAGGGCCAAGGCGACCAGACGTGGAGTGAGCGGACAAAGGCTGACAAACCCATTAGCATGTCCAGCCAGATACCACGCCCCCGCACCCTCGCCGGGACCCCCAGGCCACTACTGCAGAGAAAGTGAAATCTGTGTCCGTCCGGCCCCTCCATCAGAACACCACTGGCTTTCTGGAAGCAAGTTCTGCTGCCATAAGTTGGTGAAAAGCCGTCATAGGAACTGTGACCTCCAGTCCCCACCATCAGCATCCATCCCCTCCCACAACCCCCCTCCTGCCTCCTCCCAGATCAGCACCTTCACCACAGCAGCCTGGGCGCCCACGGCAGCGATGGGCAGAGCACGCGGCCACCTGGCTGTGTCCCCGTCTGTTCACACTGGCTGTTATGGGCGGAACGGTGTCCCCTAAACTTCACATGTTGAAATGCTAACCCCCCTACCTCGGACCGTGACTGCTTTTGGTTCTTTAAAGAGGTAATTACGTTTAAATGGGGCCATGAGGGTGGGCCCCAGTCCAATCTGACTGGTGTGGTTATTAGAAGTGACTAGAACACAAACACACACGCAGACCAAGGGAGGGCCCTGTGAAGACAAAGGGCCAAGGCCACGTGCGGTCTGGGGACAGAAGAAACCAACACCTGGATCTCAGACCTCCGGCCTCCAGAGCTGCAAGGAAACACATCTCTGTTGTTGAAGCCCCATCCGTCTGCGGCACTTGCTACAGCGGCCCTGGGAAGCTAATATACCAGCTTTCCTACCAGTCCTCGGCCCATGCAGTCACAGATCCACCTCAGGGCCTTTGCACTTGCTGCTCTCTCTGCCCAGAATGTTCCTCCCCCAGACACCCACATGGCTTTCTCCCTTACTTTCTTCAACTTGCCTTCTCCCCGGAGGCCTTCTCTGGCTTCCCCACTTCAAGTCACAACATCCTCCCACCACCACCGACACACCCTATTCCCCCGCTGCTGGGCCTTCTAATTTGGTTTCACTGGGGTGTCACAGCGATGAAACCCTCTGACCCTAAGTGTACCCTCAGCAGTCCTGATGCGTGTGTATCAAGACCAGCAGTTCCCTCACACCAGGTTCCTCCACCTCTTTCCAATCAGCCCACCCTCCCTCACAGCAACCTCTTCTGATTTCCACCGACACAGATTCATTTTGTCTAGAATATAAATGGAGTCATCCAATGTCTATTTTTGGGTGTCTGCTTTCTTTCATTCAGAAATGTATTTGTTAGGCCCACCCATGTTGTTTTATCTGTTAATAGATCATTTCTTTTTTATCCCTGTTATTCGGTGTGTGAATGTACCAATCTATTGATTCCTCCACTTGAGGGACACATGGGCTGTTTCTGGTCTCTACCTATTACAGATAAAGTTGCTATGAACATTTGTGTACAAGACTTTCAGTCAATAAATATTTTCCTTTCTCATGGGTTAATACTGAAGGTTCCTCCTTCATTTTCCTCCACGTAACTTGTCGGCATTCAACATCTGCTCTGTTTTACTTACTGACCTGCTTATTGCTTGCTTCCTTCCCCGAGGGTGTGAGCAGGGATTTCTGTGTGTCTGTGAGCTTTGCTGTATTCTCTAGAACATGGTGGATGCTTAATGACCGTTTGATGGACAAACCAATGAACAAATGAATGAATGAATGTCCTTTACACTCCCAACTCCTCCCCCCCGCCCCCCGCAATGGACTTGGGCATGAGCTTTTTGTTGGTCATTTCGCCCTGGGCAAGAGGGAGGAGAAGAAAGCTGCCACATCTAAGCAACACCCCCCAAACCCCCAACACCAGGGACCCCAGGGGGCTTGGATCTCCTGGGATTCCTGTTCAGAGGAAATTTCAGCAACATGGTAGCTCTGCTCAGGGCGGCTGGCTGTCTCCCTCCCTGGCTGTACTGCTGCTGCCCATGTTGGTGCCTCCTAGTCCTGTCTCCCAGGGCTGGGGACAGGCTGCCCCCACCAGTGACCTGAACCTCTTTGCTTCCTCGAGTGGATTAAACTGTCAAGTTTCCGGGTGTGTGCAGAGCATGGGCGAGCTGCAGACAGTAATGTGGTTTTATTTACAACATAACCACTTCGGCGACATCACTGGATTCTGAAAACACAGAACAATTTTTAGCCCCTTGGGGATTTCTAGGACATGATTTCCATAAAAATTAAATATTGGAGAATCTTATCTCTCTGCCAACTTCCCC